CCTGCCCCCAGCAGCCCTCAGTCAGAGCAAGAAGCAGCCAGGTAAGCTGCAAAGCCCCTCCCCACCCCCCTGGTTCAAAACAGTCCAGTGGCACCTTTAAGACCAAGTTTTATTCAGGTACAAGCTCTCCCTCCTCTGCAAGGACAGATCTGCACGTCCCCCCCGCCCCCCAAATAGCTAGCAATCCGAAACAGTCCAGTCGAGCCTGAGCGGTGGGTGTCGCCTTCTGACACACTTCCGGTGATGTCAGGGGGTGTGGCATATGCAAGTAAGTTGTGCTAATGAGCTCCTGCACCTCTTTTTCTACAAAATGACCCCTGCTTATAATTGTACACAATCGTACACAAATTGCTAAGCGTGATGAATCGTGACCTCACCTGGATGGCCCAAGCTAATCCAATCTCATCAGATCTCAGAAGCTAAGGAGGGTCAGCCCTGGTTGGCGCTTCAAAGGGAGACCAATGAGGAAGTCCAGGGGTCGCTACAAAGAGGCAGGCGATGGAAACCACTTCTGTTTTGTCTCTTGCTCTGGAAACCCTACGGGGCTCACCGTAAATCAGTTGCAACCTGGTGGCGGTATCCACCACTACGAATCACAAAAAGCATCCAAGGTACTTCTTTCGGGTCAACTGGAAGAATTCTGATATGTGGCAGATGATCTAACGGTGTTCTTCAAGGCCGTTATGAATAACCTACCTGGACCGCCTGCCATAGCTGCGAGACCTGTGGTAGCTGTTGCTCCTCTTGCTTCTACTTCGACTGCGACTCCTGCTGTAGTAACTGTCATAGGTGTAGGACCTGCTTTGACGGGCGAGCAAAGGGCAGCACTGATTATTTGGTTCAAGGATGAATCCCTCCCCCTTAGACTCTTACAGTTAACAAAACAAAACGATTCTGAAAGCAACATTTTGGATGTTGTGAGCCTATTAAGCAATCCTTTTCTTTGAGGTCTCCGGAGAGGTGAGATATATATTTTCTAAACAAATAAACGGCAGCCGGCTAGTATTTTGGCACACCTACTGCACCCCGCTGCTAGGGGAGCAAAGAGGTTTGTTCCAGCCACCCTTTCAGGCACAACTGCAATATTTTGTCACTACTTTTTGGTTCTGTGTTTGAGGTTAAGACGCTGAACTATAGGCTGTGGAAGGGCGGTAGTTCATCAGTTCGAGACCCAAGTGTGCCGCATGACGGAGTGAGCTCCCGTCTCTAGTTCCAGCTCCTGCCAACCTAGCAGTTCGAAAGCAAGAAATTGCAAGTCGATAAATAGGTACCACTTCGGTGGGAAGGTAACAGCGTTCCGTGCGCCTTGGTGTTTAGTCATGCTGGCCACATGACCACGGAAACGTCTTCGGACAGCGCTGGCTCTTCGGCTTGGAAACAGAGATGAGCACCGCAACCCTAGAGTCGGATTCGACTGGCTTTCGAGCAAGGGAACCTTTACCTTTACCTTGAGGAAGGCAGCATTCAGACGGGAGGAGGAAACAAGCCCCTGCTGTCCGGAATGGGAAGTAATGTGTAGTTTTGCCATCTGGATTCTTTTAGATCTGTCATACTAGTATTGCTATGTATTTCAACTCTTTGGTTTTATGTTTTTATTTATTATTGTACATCACCCGGATCGGGCGATTCAGAAGTCTAACAAATAATAAGTATTTGCACACCTTCCCTATGCATAGATTCAGGTGGGTAGCTGCGTTGGTCTGAAGGCGCAGAACAAAGTTGGAGTCCAGCGGCACCTTTAAGACCAACGAAGTTTTATTCAAGGTGTAAGTTTTCATGTGCATGCGCGCTTCTTCAGATACACTGGAACAGACGTCCACAACCATTACATAAAGGTAGAGAGGCCGGTGTGTGTGTGTTAATTGCCAGGAAAAGCTACTTAGAGTCAAGATGCATAAGTAACTGGGCGATAAATATAGCTAAGATTGGATTAAAGCCCAGTTACTTATGCATCTTGGCTCCAACTGGCCCTTCCTGACAGCTGCTCGCCCCATCTTCCTGTATGTAGGTGTCACGGCTCAGGTGGGGTGTCACCTGACGCTGCCACCACTCTGGATTTAGGTTCCCTTGAGAAGGCCCAGAGCTCCCTCCCAAGACCTTCAGACCTCCCTTGTTTGGCCGAATAAAAGGCGTGAGGACCAGGCAGAGTACAACAAGGAAAACCAGATCTTTTATTCCAAGCCCTCCTCTTTTCCTATTGGTCAATTTTGGCTCCAAAACCTCTCAGGGGCTTCTGGGAGTTGTAGGCCCAGCCTCACCTACTGCTAGCCAGGTTCCCTGGGCCTAGTAGGCCTCTGGTGGCACAGCCCAGATCATGACACTAGGGCTTGAGGAAATGTGCTTGCACACGAAAGCTTATACCTTAAATAAAAACACTTGGATTTAAAGATGCCACTGGACTCAAACGTCATTCCCGTTAAGTGGATTTTGCTTTCTTTTAATGATCAGTTTCTCTGTTGTGCGCTCACTGCCACAAAATAAAGGGGAAAAAACCCTGAGGAGATAATCCCAGGAGGACTGAAATATTGCTATATTAACTTCAAATGTACCAAAATATAGCTCCTCCATAATGAGAAAACCTTGAACTATATTAATGATTTTTAAAAACCTAATCAAAACTGTATTTCAGCCTTTCCACGATTTCACGAGACCATGGGGAAGAGGAGGGGGAGAAAGAGATTGGATTTATACCCTGACCTTCACTCAAGAGTCTCAGAGCAGTTTACAATTCCTCCATAATGAGAAAAACCTCATCAAAACTGTATTTCAGTCTTTCCATGATTTCACGAGACATTGGGGAAGAGGAGGGGGAGGAGGAGATTGGATTTATACCCCGCCCTTCACTCAGAGTCTCAGAGCAGCTTACAAACGCCTTCCCCTTCCCCTCCCCACAACAGACACCCTGTGAGGTAGGCGGGGCTGAGAGACCTCTGAGAGAACTGTCCTTGAGAGAACAGCTCTGAGATAACTGTGGCTTGCCCAGTATCATCCAGCAGCTGCAAGTGGAGGAGTCGGGAATCAAACCCGGTTCTCCCAGATTAGAGTCCACGCACCTAACCACTACATCAAACTGGCCCTGGCCCTATTCTTAAAAACAAACTGAGCCACAAAACCCCCAATCACACCACATTTAGAGTAACACAGACAATCAAGAAGCCACATGTAGTGAGAACCTTGCCACATCATCTGTTTTTACCCAAGCTTCACGGAAAAAGCCCTTTTGATGAGAGTATGATAAACGCAAATAATTTTAAGATGCATTCCTTGTCAATGAGAAAGGAGCTATCACAGCATCCTGTAGTGAGAACCTTACCACGCAGTGAGCTGGTCATCTATTTTTACCCAAGCTTCACGAAAAAAGCCCTTTTGATGAGAGTATGATACAACACAAATAATTTTTAAATGTATTACTTGTCAATGAGAAAGGAGCTATCACAGCATCTGATTCGATTATGCTTCCAGCACGTTTCCATCACCCACGGAGGACCAGTGTTCCCTCTAAGCTGAGTTAGTGTGAGCCAGCTCACAGTTTCTTAGCCTCCGGCTCACACGTTTTTGTCTTAACTCAGGAAGGAGGGCTCTCCGGAGCAAACTGATTGATGCAGCAGCCAAAGCGCTGGCTCACCACTTTAATGCCGGTAGCTCACAAAGTACAATTTCTGCTCACAAGACTCCACGGCTGGGAAGGAAGCATTGCCGAGGACCCAAACCAATTCTGCTAAATTCTGCGGACCTTGCAGTCAGTTGCAATGCCATGTTACCGACGCACTGCTTACAGGTTATTAACAAACAGTTCATTGAATATGTTTTTCTCATCAGTGATAATGATCTCCGTCGTAGCGTACCTGGATCGACTACGGTGATTGTAAGAACTGCTTCGGGACCGACTTCTGCTATAGGTACGACTATCGAGACAAGGAAAGAATTATGTATCAATTCCTACAGCTAGGCTGTGCAAGCTTTTTATTTTTAAATCTGCAAAAGACATTTTCATTATTTTTGATTCTAGAAAGCCACTACAATCATTCCCTCGTTTATTATCATGTCAGCGACAGGTTACTCCAATAGTTTATTAATGGTAAACAGTCAACAAAACTTCTCAGACAGGGACTCAACCCAGGCTTTTCGGGAATATGCTGGTGGGGAAGAGTGTCAGCGACAGGTTACTCAAACAGTTTATTAATAGTAAACAGTCAACAAAACTTCTCAGGGAATCAACCCGGGCTTTTCGGGAATATGCTGGTGGGGAAGAGGTTGTGGCTCAGTGGCAGAGCATCTTGAAGAAGAAGAAGAGGAAGACGGAGAAGAAGAGGAGAAGGAAGAACATTAGATTTATACCCTCGCCCTTCACTCGGATTCCCAGAGCAGCTTACAAACTCCTCTCCCTTCCCCTCCCCACAACAGACACCCTGTGAGGTAGGTGGGGCTGAGAGCTCTGAAAGAGATGCTCCAGAGAGAATAGCTCTGAGATAACTTGTGACTGACCCAAGGTCATCCAGCAGCTGCACGTGGAGGCGTGGGGAATCAAACCTGGTTCTCCCAGATTTAGAGTCCACGCACTTAACCACTACACCAAATTGGCTCTCCACTCCCTGTTGCTATAACAGGAGGACCCAGCTTCATACACACACCCCTAGTTTAAAAGGATCAAGTAGGATTTGATGAGAAAGACCTTGATTTAAAGATGTGAAGAGCCACTGCCGGTCAGAGCAGAAGATGACCCTGAGAGACCAACATAACAGGCAGCTTCCTCTGTGTTCACAGGCCTTGAATCTCAAAAGGTCCTCTAATCTCCAGTCCCCAAACGAAAGGCAAATAGTACCTGTGACTCCTGTAACTGTGAGAGGAACTACTTCGACTTCTTGACCGGCCTCTGCTGTACCACCCTCTGCTCCGGCTTCGCGTGTAGCTCCTCGACCTGCACAGTTGGAAGGATATGTATTAAAAAGACAGGCAAGAGGAGGAACAGCATTCAGACAAAAATGAGCAAGATTTTCAAAGCTGAGAAGTGACTGAAATGGCTAGTATGCATTTGCAGAAACGTACAAAGAACATTTTCGGGTTCAGTGTTTCTCTGAAAAAGCTACAACCCCTGATAAAAATACATCTACCCACCTGTAAGAGTACGTGGAACTCCTTGATCGACTTCTTGAGTGACTGTAGGAAAGGGATCTTGTCCTGTGCCTGGATTTCAGGTCCGATTTGGTCCGTGACCGGCTGCGACTCCTCGACTGGCTGTTCTCCCGTGCGGGGGAATCCTCTTCGCTGGAGCTCTCGCGGTTTCGCGGCCTCCGGTTGAGCCGCGCCGTTTTCCTGACCTCGTCGAACAGGGAGCCCGGTCTGATTTTATTTTTGCTTTTGATTTCTATCCTTAAGCCCTGCGGCTTTGATTCGGACGAGGAGGCCGTGTTTTTGGCTTCGGCCGGATTGGTCGCCGCAGCCGTCACCTGCAGGTTCCCCACGCCCTGGAGTGGCTTCCATTTATTATCCGCCACGCTGCCCTGTGCGTTTTCCACCACTTCTGTTTTCAGCACATTTTCCACAACGGCCACTACCACAGCGGGGCTAAGGCTCTGCTTCGGTCCCTCTCGGTTTCTCTCTTCTTTGACGCTGACCGCTCCTTTAGCATCGGGTCCTTCCGTTGCGGTCTCAGCCTCAGGGTTATTCGGGGCACCTGACTTCTTCCTCACTTTAACAGCTGGGAGTTTTACCTTCAGACTTACTGGAGAAAGATCCAGGTCCGCCTTTGCAGGTGAGTGATGGTCTGGGGTACAGATCTCCATGTCGTCCATCTGAGCGACATCCACCTCGCCTTCGCTATTCGCTTTGGCGCCCTTGGGGCTTCCTGAAACACCCACGTTTTTAACTGGCGTTAGAGGAGGAACAGAAGTCGATGGTTCCTCCTTATCTTTACTATGCTTGTTAAGAGCTGGTGATTTTCTGCCCGACGGTTCCTCCTCACCTTTACGACGTTTGTTAAGAGCTGGAGATCTTCTGCCCGAGGGCTCCTCATTATCTTTACGACGTTTGTTAAGACCTGGCGATTTTCTGACCGCAGCTTCATCAGCAGGCGTTTTCTCTTCGCTGGGCTTTTCATCATCTCGGGGCTGCTCTTTTATCACTTCGCTCTTCTCAGGAGCTGGGTCCTGATTTCTCTCCTTGGCACCAGCCGTGGCCTTCTCATCCCTGGCGGCTGGTTTCACAGTCATTTCCTCGTCCTCGTCCTCCTCCCCAAATTCCAGCGGAGGCTGCCAATGAAACGCTTCCTTTTGCTTTTGCGCTTTATGCTTCTTCTCCTTCTTACCCTTGGATTTCTCTTTCGCTTTCTTGGAATGCGCCTTTTTGAGGTGCTTCTTGGACCCGTGCTTTTGCTTTCTTGATTTCCCCCGAGCGCCCGAATTGGAAAGAGCGCTTCCTGAGTCGGAAGGGGATGGCGGCCGCTTACTTGCCTTCAGAGTCGCCGAGGAGGAATCTACTTTCGTCTTAAGGCTGGAGAGGACGACTTCTGAGTCGGAGTCCGACGTGGCTTCGCCTTCCTCCTTACTAGAAGATAATCTCGAACCTTCTTTATCATTCTTGTTCCCGCCTCTTTCTGAATTGGACCCAGAGTCCCACTTGCTCCCAGGGTCCGTTTTCCTTTTTGCCTTCCGACCAGTTCTTGGAGACTCAGATTTCTCCTTCGGGACTCTCCTTTTTGAACGGTCGCTGCCCCACTCTGACCGAGACCTTTCCTCTTGCCTGTCACAAACTGACCCACTTTTATTTTGCTTCTGGTTAGCTTTTTCAGGCTGTGACTGACCTTTCTCCAGGACCGGCTGAGGCTTAGCTGTCTGCTCGCCGTCTGTGGAGAAGTCCAAAGAGGATCTACTTGGACTCTCTCTGAGCTTTTGAGAAACTGCTTCTTTCACGTACAGAAGAGTGCTTTCAGAACTACTTTGCCTTTGCTTTGACAACGGCACACTCTTCTCTCTGGATCCAGACCTCCTTTTGTTTTTCTGCCGGTCATCGTCACTTAGGGAAAAATAAGAGGACGACCCACTGTAGAATGACTGATCGCTGGGGAATTTATTCGCTGAACGGGATCTAGCCGTGGATCGAGACCTTGACCTTGAACTGGACGGGCTCCTCGATCGCGAATAGGACTTCGAGTAAGATCTGCTCCGGGATGTCCTGCTCCTTGACCTGTGCCAGCTTCTGGAACTCCTATCGCTTTGATTTTTGGAATAGCTGCTCTGATCGCTGTCTGACGTCTCTCGCCGCTTGTGGTACGAAGAGGATGAGCCGGCCTCTTTGATGCTCGCTAAGCTGTAAGTAGTCTGAGTAGGTATTAAATGGGTGGCTTTTGCTTTCATCTCCTGAATCCGCTCGTAGGATGGTTTCCACGGCTTTTGCCCGGGCTTCCATCTGGAAGGAGGCGGACTGTCACTGAGAGGGATCACGGGAACGCTTTCGGCAACAACGGGCTGTATCGCAACTTTGTCGGCCTGTAACACCGCCCTCGCGGGTTCAGCCTTGACGGCCTTGTGCTCGTTTAGACGTGCCGTGACATTTTTGGGAGAACTGGATACAGTTCTTGGGTGCCTGGAGTTGGAGCTAGACCGCGACCTGCTCCTGGAGCGAGAAGACTTCAGAGCGACTCTTGACCTAGAACTTCTTCTGGAGTAAGACCTCGACCTGGATCTCGACCTGGACCGGTAGTAGGAGTGTGAGCCCCTGCTCGACGGAGACAGCGAGCTCTGGTTACCTCTTTCAGATTTGGACCAGTCCTTTCTCGAAGAGGAGTCCCT